AGACATATATCATATATAGAGAGATATAGACATATATCATATATATGGCATACATATGTATGATGGAATACTACTCAGCCATAAAAGGAATGAATTAATGGCATTCACAGCAACCTGGATGGGATTGGAGACTATTATTCTAAGTGAAGTAACTCAGGAATGGAAAACCAAACATCCTATGTTCTCACTTACAAATGGGAGCTAAGCTATGAGGATGCAAAGGCATAAGAATGATAAAATGGGCTTTGGGGACTCGAGGGGAAAGGGAAGGAAGGGGGTGAGGAATGAAAGACTACAAATTGGGTTCAGTGTATATTTATCTGGTGATGGGTGCACCAAAATCCCACAAATCACCACTAAAGAACTCAGCAATAGACCTGGTACCCACCTTGCACTACTCACAGGGAAGGGGAAAATGCCAGCACTCAGTCAGGGTAACTCAGGGTTTCCTCCTTTAGATGGGACAAGTGGGCTCCTCCCCGCTCCTCCTCCTGCTGGACCTGGCTGCCTACTTGGGCCTGACTGTCTGCTCCTTCTAGAACCACCAGGTGCTGGGGACAGGTTTGAAAGGAGGCAGATCCGGGTTTGATTCCCAGCTGTGCTACTAATTAACTGCGTGGCATTTCCTGCATTGAGTCCAATGTCTAAAGTGAGGGAACACGCACATTGTGCAGTGCTGTGAGGTTTAAAGTTGTGTCTGTAGCTCCAGTGGCTGCTTACCTGAGCACTTCCCAGGGTGTGTGATGATGACTGGTTTTCATGGATATCTGACCAGATAAAACTGGGGCTTCGGGATGACAGGGAACCACCCACTCCCTGTATCAAGCCCAGGACTGAGTATGAAATATGTCTGCAATAAAGACTGAAGAAGCTGAGAACAGCTCTTGTACTTGGGCCAGGACTGTGACTCCTTCATCCATTTATTCAGCATTGTTTCTGAGCCAGGTCCCATGCCGGGACCTTAGGGTAGTGTCGGGGAACAAGCCCAGTTCCTGTGCTCCAGGGGCTCCTATCGGGGGTGCGCATGGAGCTGACGTTCTGCTTTCTCTCTCCATACAGGTGTGTGGAACTGCTGACTCAGGATGTCGGGGTTCAGGCTGGTAAGAATTCTATGATTTGATCTAGGGGTTATTGGTGTAAGTTACTCAAGGCCAAGTTGAATCGCTCCCAAGGAAAGAGAGGAAAGGCAATGAGACCCCATAGGAAAATACCAGAGACAGGTGAGTTTAGGAAACACGACAGATTCTCGCATCTCAAGAAAACAAGTTTGGCCAACCACTGGCCTCGGCAATACATGTAGTTATATATAGTTATCCCTCGCTTTCATGCAGGGCTTAACATGTCCCTTTGTCTTGACAAAAGGGATTTCTTTTCTTTACTTTTCTTTTTTTTTTTTCCAGACAGATTCTCACTTTGTCACCCAGGCTGGAGTGCAGTGGCGTGATTTCAGCTCACGGCAACCTCTGCCTCCTAGGTTCAAGTGATCCTCCAACCTCAGCCTACCGAGTAGCTGGGACCACAGGTGCATGCCACCACACCCAGCTAATTTTTGTATTTTTTGTAGGGACGGGGCTTTACCATGTTGCCCAGGCTGGTCTTGAACTCCTGAGCTCAAAGCAATCCACTCGCCTTGGCCTCCCAAAGTGCTGGGTGTGAACCACCTTGCCCAGCCAACGAAGGGATTTCGCAGTTGTCTCACTGTGGCAGTTGCAGGGAGCTCCCCCAGAGAAAACAGGGAACTGGGGAACTGTGGGCATGGGTAGGACTGAAACCCAGGTCTGAATCACCACTTTGGACTCTGCATCGTGTTTCCTTCACTCAACAAATATTCCTGTGTTCCGGTGGCCAAGGGATGGCTTCTCCATAGGAAGAAAGCAGAGGAGCTTTGCATTTACTGTTGAATCAACATAGACCCTGGGGAACTGCCCTGCCCTGCCACGGGGCGTAAAGGGTGGAGAGCTCAGAGGCTGGAGAGCCCAGAGAGCAGAGGTCCCAAACCAGCCTGTGCATCCTTCCCTGCCCTCCACATTTCCACCCTTGCCCCATGCCCCGCAGAGTCCAGGAGAGCAGGATAGTGCTGCAAAGCGCTCTTTGATAAGAAAATGCCCCAAATGTTCTCCTGAGTGCAAAGCCACACAGGACATCGTTCCTGGCTGCTGGAGCACACTGCTGAGAGGAGGACCTTCACCACGCAGGAGCCCCTGGCGCTGCCACTAAGCCTGGCAGCATCGGACTCACAGAATGGACAGCCAAGATTGGCTCCTTGTTTTCAATTACAGAATAGAGCTTAGGCTGTTTTAGGCTGTAGAGAGGACACGCGTGGTCTCAAACGTCAGGTTGTGAGGCTTCTGGTAACTAAGTTGCAAACCTGAGAGCGTGGCTCCACCTTGGAGCATGGTGTGATTTTAAGACAAAGCAAAGCATTTCACAAAGGAATGTGCCGTGGGATGCATCAACGCCAGACTCCCTCTGGGGATGCCACTAACGGCAAGCAGAGTTTAGAAAAACACCTCTCAGGGCCCTATTACTCACAATTACAATTGCAGGCTCGCTCTGTCTTCAGACATTGTAAGTCTTTGAGAGGAGAGTCGTCTCTCGGCTCACTGCAACCTCAGCCTCCCAGGTTCAAGCAATCCTCCCGCCTCAGCCTCCCGAGTAGCTGGGACTACAGGCACCCACCACCATGCCCGGTTAATTTTGTATTTTTAGTAGAGACAGGGTTTCACCACGTTGGCCAGGCTTGTCTCGGACTCCTGACCTCAGGTGATCTGCCCACCTACCTCGGCCTCCCAAAGTGCAGAGTGGTCATCTTTTTAATGAATAAGTCTTTCAGAGGGCCCATGCGGTTGTTGAGTCCTCTGTGGTGCCCTTCGTGCTGGACACTAGGCAGGCTCCCTGCCATAGGGCACTCCATCTTCACCACAGCCCTGTGAAGCAGGCCCCTTTCAACAGATAAGGAAGTTAAGGTTCAGAGCTGTGAGGTGACTTTCCCAAGGCCGTAGAACTCCTGGAATACAGAATAGGGATTAGAACCCAGCCAGGTCTGCCTGACTTCACTGGGGCTTGGACTGCCGTAACAAGGTGTCACAGCCTGGGTGGCCTAAACCACAGACAAATATGTTCTCATGGTCCTGGAAGCTGGAAGTCCAAGGTCAAGGTGCCTTAGGGTTGTAGATGGCTGTCTTCTCATTTTATCCCTTCACATGGCCTTTCTTCTGTGCTGTGGGGTGAGGAGAGGGAGAGAGAAAAGCAGAGAGAGAGAGACAGGGAGAGAGAGAGAGAGCGTGCATCTCACTCTGGTGCCTCTTCCTTTTTTACAGACACCAGTCCCGTTGGATTAGGACCACACCCTTAGGACCTTATTTAACCTTAATTACCTCCTCGAAGGCCTTATCTGTAAATATGGTCATGTCAGGAGTTGGGGCTTCACTATATGAATTCTGGAGGGACACAATTCAGTCCATATAATGAGGTTTATTTATATTTTTGCCCATCTTCTATAGCGATCTTCTTCCTAATTCTAATTTTATTTTATTTTTTATTTGTGTGTTCTTTTTTGACAGAGTCTCACACTGCCAGCAAGGCTGGAGTGCAGTGGTGCGATCACAGCTCACTGCAACCTCCACCTCCCAGATTCAAGCAATATCGTGCGTCAGCCTCCTGATTAGCTGGGATTACAGGGGCCCACCACCACGCCTAGCTTTTTTTTTTTTTTGAGATGGAGTCTTGCACTGTCGCCCATGCTGGAGTGCAGGGGTGCAATCCTGACTCACTGCAAGCTCTGCCTCCCAGGTTCAAGGAATGCTCCTGCCTCAGCCTCCTGAGTAGCTGGGACTATAGGCGTGTGCCACCACACCTGGCTAATTTTTGTATTTTTAGTAGAGACAGGGTTTCACTATGTTGGCCAGGCTGGTCTTGAACTCCTGACCTCGTGATCCGCCCGCCTCGGCCTCCCAAAGTGCTGGGATTACAGGCGTGAGCCACCGCACCCAGCCAATTTTTGTATTTTTTTAGTAGAGGCAGGGTTTCTCCATGTTGGCCAGGCTGTTCTCAAATTCCTGGCCTGTCTTGGCCTCCCAAAGTGCTGGGATTACAGGTGTGAACCACGACACCCAGCCCCTAATTCTAATTTTTAAAAAATTTCTATATCATTTTGCTGACTTTTCTCCTTCCTACCTGTTATGATTCTTCCCACGTTTTTCCAATCAGGGCATGTTCCCCCGCGGTTTCCAATTTTGTTTTCATTCTGGTGCGCATTTCTTTCATTTCCTCCATTTTTTCGTTCAGCTCTGCCAACTCACGTCTCATCCTTTTTCTCAGTTTTCCCCCATCTAATTCCTGGGCTTTTCTGCCTCTGACCTAGTCTTTGGTCAGTTTTTGTAAATGATGGTGAAATATTCGGTCACAACTTCCCACGGCTCTTTGGCAGTTATTTCTCTTTTGCTAAGTGTTATTTGCTCCCTTCCTCCTCTTGGGTTTCAGTACCTCCGAACACAGACCTGTGCTGCTTCCTTTTGGATTACTTCTCTTCAGATGGGGTGAGCTCTCTTGGATTAGAAGGAGGTTCGTGCGGGGTCAGTGCCACAGTGCAGGCTAGCAGAAATCTCACATGCGAGTTTTTAGTCGTTGCTTCTCCCACCCAATAGATCTGGGTACTGCAGAGCTTCTCACGGGCCAAGGCTTCTCTTTTCCCACCCCGCAGAGAGACTGCTTCCTGCAAAAATGGCAGACCTGCAAATATGGTCTGTTTCTTAGAACCGAGACAGGCCAGGCAAGCTCCAACTGCCACCTTGTGCCCGTGCTCCTGCTGCTGCAGCAAGTCATGCTGCTTTTCACGCCAGGATGGGCTGCTGCCTTGGAGAATTGAACTTTGCCCTCTCTTTCTGGAATCTACAGCTGGGGCCACCTTTTCAACTTCCTCCTGTGTCTCCTAGCGTTTGTTTCCGTTTCTTATCCTCCTATTGCTTGCAGGTGATTTCTGAGAAGATGCAACTCTTGCTACCATCATCAAGCTTGAGAAGCACTTTCTCTTTTAACCACTCAGCCACGCCACCTTCCTAAGTAGTTGCCAAGTTTCTTTTTCATTATGAGAGGTTCTGTGGTGAGACCGGAGCTCTTGTTCTTGTCAGCTTACTGTCCCAGACTAGACAAAGACACGGAGAGAAGCTGTACAGGCGCTTGGTACCTGCTCAGTGAGCAGGGCAGGTGACACACGATCAAAGGAAACAGGGGCTAGGAGAGAGAGAGAGAAAGAGAGATAGGAGAGGAATGGGAAGAGGGGAGGAGAGGAAAGGAGAGACAAGCTCCAGCCACATTGGGAACTCTGGGCTGGAAGGCAAACCCCTAAAGAGAGGTAAGTATCCAGCAGGGAGGGGAAGAGAGAGCGGGGATCACACCACTGTCTTCTGTCTGCCCTCCAGGGTGACCACGTGTGGCTGGAGCCTCCCTCCACCCACAAGACTGGCGTGGCCATTGGAGGCATCATCAAAGAGACAAAGCCAGGCAAGATCTTGGTTGAAGATGACGAGGGCAAGGTCAGTGTTCTGGGGCTTTCCTCTGGGCCCCGGCCTGCCCCCACATCCAGGGCCCCAGAGCCCTCCCCACCCTGTGGAGCCTCTCCCTAACACCAGGGGCTCCAAGGCCAAGTGGGGACCTGGGTGGCAGGACAGATCACAGTGGAGTCCTGCCATGGTGAACACGGCCTCTGTGTCCTGGGGAACGTTTCAAGAGTTGCAGTCCAGGGAAATGAAGAGAATTAGGGGACCAGGAAGTGGAGAAGTGGGAAAGGGGCTCTGGAAGGACCAGAGGGGCAGAAAGCCGGTTTGCAAAATGAAACTGGCAAGGGGGAAAGGTGGGTGAGGAAGGTGTGTGGAGGGGCAGGAAGCGGCAAAACGCACAAGTGAGAGGCCAGCAACCTGAAGTGGCCCAGGGGTGACCAGCTCGTCCACCAGAGGGGTCAGGACCAGCTAGGTGGTGAGCGGGGAAGGGCTTACCATGGAGTGTCCAGCCGGTCACTTAGCTCCTCAGATTGTCCTCTCTGCTCAGCTGGGTGCTGCAGGCTTAGCCTCCAAAGAAAAGTTTCTAGGCTGTGGCCTGTGAGATCCAGATGATGGAAGTCAGTAAAATAATAACAATCTCTTCTATTTGTGTAACACTGTAGTTTAAAAAAAAAAAAAAAAACTTCCCTTGCCCCCCTTTTTTTTTTTTTTTTTTTTTGAGGCAGAGTCTGCACTCTGTTGCCCAGGCTGGAGTGCAGTGGCGCGATCTCGGCTCACTGCAAGCTCCGCCTCCCGGGTTTGCGCCATTCTCCTGCCTCAGCCTCCCGAGTAGCTGGGACTACAGGCACCCGCCACCGCGCCCGGCTAATTTTTTGTATTTTAGTAGAGACGGGGTTTCACCGTGTTAGCCAGGATGGTCTCGATCTCCTGACCTCGTGATCCGCCCGCCTCGGCCTCCCAAAGTGCAGGGATTACAGGCGTGAGCCACCGCGCCCGGCCCACTTGCACACTCTTATTCCAACAATCTGCAAGGCTCCCAGCTGCAACCTGACCCTAAATCTAACTTCTGGTTACAAGCTCCTTTGTCCCTGGTCTGAAATTCAGCCCTAGCCCCAGCTACGCCTTAACCCTGGGCCCTAGACCCATGCTGATCCAGTCATAGATGAACCTGATTCTGCCACAGGAGTCCCTTGAGCCTTGTCATAGACTGATGCTGGCCGGAGGCTGGCCACCGCCCCAGGTCAGCTGATCTGTGACCCCGAAGGCCACTTTGCTGCTGAGAACTTGGAGGGGAGGGTGTGGCAGGCTGGCCACGGGGATGGAGGCCACGCCTCAGGGGAGTCTGCACCCGTTGTTCCAGGAACACTGGATCCGAGCAGAGGACTTTGGTGTCCTCAGCCCCATGCACCCCAACTCAGTCCAGGGCGTGGACGACATGATCCGCTTGGGGGATCTGAACCAGGCGGGCATGGTGCACAACCTCCTGATCCGCTACCAGCAGCACAAGATCTACGTGAGTCTCCCCAGCCCTGTGTCCACAGGGGAGCCCCTCACAGGTGCCGACCTCCTGGACAGGGAGAAGAAAATGATGCACGGGGGGCACTGCCCCCCCATGCCCTCACTGGGGGAGGTGGGCGAGGTGCCTAACTTTTCCCAATCTCTGCTGCCCAGTCCCAAACAGGGCGATCCCACCCTGGAGGGGAGGAAGCCACTGCATAGAGTGACAGCACAGTGCCTGGCACAGTCCGTGCTCAGTGAGGGCTGCAGATGGCCATCAGGTGGCCATTGTCCTCTGCCCTCTCCATCCCAAGCATGTTGTAGAGACAGGGTCACCAGACAGAGAGCTCCTGGCCTCCCAAGAGTGAGTCCCATGACAGCCAGGATCCCAAGATCCTGATTCACCAGACGAGGGGGCCATGGGGGTGGATGTGGGCCCTCCCCGCAAACCTGGCCTGGATGGAGGTTCACCCCAGCCTGAAGCTCTCATCCTGGTTCCAATGCAGATTTTTCCAGGGGAGGTGGTATTTCCAAACCGACACCAGCTCGGCCTAAGTGTGTGTGGCCTGCAGCAGCCACTGCCTGCCGGGGCCTCTCTGGTTGGAGGGTGGCTGGCTTGGTTCTGACCGGCCCTTCTGGGCTGTCCAGAGGAAGGCAGCTTGTGCTTCCAAAGGGCTTGTGCCTGCACTCCTCATCTGGTGGCACAGCCTCAAGCCAGAGGGCACATCCTCTCCTTTCCTAAAGTGAAAACCAGGATGCCATGGTCGTGTGGCGTATTGTGCAGACTCTGCCTGCCCCACCCACTGAGGGGCAGTGGAGCCGGGTGGGGGCTCCAGAGGGGCAGCTGATCCAGGGCAGAGGTCCCAGGAGCACACAGATTATTGGTTGGGCTCCGTGGGGGCCACTTGTTGACCAGCCTATATGAAAGCCCCTGCGGAATGCACGTGAAAACCCATTTCATACTTAGTCCATTTTTATCGAGCCCCTTCTAAGTACCAGGCAAGGTACAGTGAACATTTGATCTTCCTGGAAATATGTCCCCCGGGAGCTCACCTTCCTGGTGGACATCTCGTCTTCCCATAGGAGGGACCTGCACAGCCGAATGTCTTAACTCCCTGGCCCAGAATCAGACTCTACTTCCCCACCAAAGTCAGCAGCCCTGATAACTCCCTGAGGGCAGGACCAAGGCCAAGTATCTCTGCCAGGGGCAGAGGGCACTGACCACCTGCTCCCTTCCCAGACATACACAGGCTCCATCCTGGTGGCCGTGAACCCGTTCCAGGTGCTGCCGCTCTACACCCTGGAGCAGGTACAGCTCTACTACAGCCGCCACATGGGCGAGCTGCCCCCGCACGTCTTTGCCATCGCCAACAACTGCTACTTCAACATGAAGAAGAACAAGAGGGACCAGTGCTGCATCATCAGGTGAGGCAGAGGGGTCAGGCACCGCCTCCAGGCATCTCCCCGAACTGCTCCCCACAGCACACCTGCCAAGTTGGGCAAGGCAGGAGCTCTCCCTACTCCATGGCACACACCCTTCTCCACAGCACACAACGGCCCCAGCTACCCTGCACCCCGAGCAGTTCCTCCAAAGCTTCCTTCCTTCAGAACCTAGGCTTTCATCGTGTCACCAGGGACTGGACTGCCCAGCCTCTAATAACGGTTTACTGAGTCAAGGAAGGAAGTTGGGCTGGGTTCCTTTAGAAATGGGCCCCAGAGGTCGGGCATGGTAGCTCATGCCTATAATCCCAGTGACTTGGGAGGTCAAAGCAGGAGGATTCCCTGAGGCTGGAAATTTGAGACCAGCCTGGACAACATAGCGAGACCCTATCTCTGTAAAAATAAAAAAAGAAAAAGATATGGGACCCAGGTTAGGCACTTGAAGATGCAGGAGTTCAACAGCTGAGGACCCACGCAAAAAAATCTCAGGGCAGGTCCCAGGTGAGGACAGAGGAGCAGCAGCTCCAGGGGGCAGCTCTCAGGTCACCAGGGGACCAGAAGGAAAGTGTCCCCTCCAGTCCAGGTCCTGGCTGCTTCAGAGACTCCCTGCCTGGCCTGGCCTCTCTACCAGTGACCACAGACCCTCCTGGTGTCGGGAGGAGGACTGTTCAAGGGAACGGGAGGTGGAGTGGGAATTTGGCTCCCAGGCACCTTGCTTGGTGCTCCAGTAGAGTCACTCATTCATTCCTTCCTTCATTCAATCATTTGAGGTTTTGTCATGCCCCAACTGTGTGCCACCCACTGTCCCAACATGGGGAGGCGGCAGCTAACAAAAGGGACCAGAATCCCTTCTTCAGGGAGCTTACATTCTAGAAGCGGAGACAGACAGGCAACAAATAAGTGCATTTTTATGCAGGTCCTAACAGCTTTGAAGTAAAACACAGCAGGGGAGAGGAAAGGATGATGTCAGCCTCTGCGTTAGGTAGGGGACAGGCCAGGCACGGCCTCTCTGAGGCGGGATGCTGAACAGAGACCAGAATGAAGTCCTAAGGCACAGGTGATCACATTTCATGTCCTCAGCAACCCTCTGAAGGAGATGCTCTCATTCCCCTGATATGGCCCCGTGTTACTGCGGGAGAGACCTACAGTCAGAGGGGCTGAGATCCTGTTCCAGCGGCACACAGCGCTGAAGTGGGGAATTCAAACCCAGGGCTCTGGAGAAGACAGCAGACAGGTGCCCTGGGAGAGAGCTGGAACTCCCAACCTGTCCCCGGAGGCAGAGCGAGAAGCCTCTCGGCAGAGCTGGGCCACGGGCTGGCTGGCCAGGAGCTGACAGGGTGGCGCCCCCTGGAGGCTGGCGGGGCTGGCCCAGTGTGAGCAAGGAGAGGAAAGGGCCGCCTGACGTTTGGTTCCTTGTAGTGAGCAGAACGTCACTTGTCACTTTGAGTCAAATTGCATTCTCCTCCTGCCCTTTCCTCCCCCAGGGCTGTGGGCAAGTCCCCTTAAGCTGCGTCTCTACAATGGCAGGTTATTTGATGAGCTTGTGTTTATAAACACGCCTGGCGCTTGACAGGCACTCAGGGGAGTCCACAGCTATCACTGGAGGTTTGTTGATCTCACTCTGCTTTGCTGGCATAGTGATTGTGGGTATTTTGATCATAACTTTGTAAAAAAGGTAATATTTTGACTGGGTGCGGTAGCTCACGCCTGTAATCCCAGCACTTTGGGAGGCTGAGGCAGGTGGATCACCTGAGGTCAGGAGTTCAAGACCAGCCTGGCCAACATGGTGAAATCCCATCTCTACTAAAAATATAAAAATTACCTAGGTGTGGTGGCCAGCGCCTGTAATCTCAGCTACTTGGGAGGCTGAGGCAGGAGAATTGCTGGAACTGGAGGGGGCAGATGTTGCAGTTAGCTGAGATGGTGCCATTGCACCCCAGCCCAGGCCAACAACAGCCAGACTCTGACTCAAATAAAGAAAAAAAAAAAAAAAGACAATATTTTCAGGCCAAACATGGTGGCTTATGCCTGTAATCCTAGCACTTTGGGAGGCTGAAGTGGGCAGATCAGCTGAGGTCAGGAGTTTCAGACCAGCCTGGTAAAGATGGTGAAACCTTATCTCTACTAAAAATATAAAAATTACCTGGGTGTGGTGGCAGGCACCAGTAATCCTAGCTACTTGGGAGGCTAAGGCATGAGAATCACTTGAACCCAAGAGGTGGAGGTTGCAGTGAGCCTAAATCATGCCACTGTACTCCAGCCTGGGAGACAGAGTGAGACTCCATCTCAAAAAAAAAAAAAAGGTAATATTTTCAGATGAAGCAATATCTGGGATTTGCTTTAAAATAGTACAGGAGGGGAAACAAAATCGGCCAGGAGTTGAAGCTGGATAATGGGACTGTGGGAGTCTGCTATGCAAATTCTAAAGTGTAGGAATCCTCTGGGGATCCTGTGAAAATGCAGATTCTGATCAACAGAGCCTGTGTGACCTGGGCATCTGCATTCTGAGCCTGCTGCTGGCCTGTGGGCCACGCTTTCATTAGGAAGACATTGAGTCATCTCACTCAGCCTTCTGTATGTCCTGGTGCTGACCCTGGAATGAATCAGATCCGAGTGTGCCAAGGAGCTTGCAGCCGAGCAGAGAAGAAAAGACAAACACAATAGCGTGTACAACACAGGCAGCCTGAGACCCACAGGGGACTTCAGGGCTTCAATGCAGTGGGATATCTGCAGGGGAGAGGCCATCCTTGTCAGACTGGCTAGAGAAAGCAGGACTGGGGTTTGTAGGAGAGTTGAGAGGTGTTGAAAAAAATAGTTGTTGTGTGGTCTCATGTCCCTGCACTCCCTTTTTGCAGTGGCGAGTCTGGGGCTGGCAAGACGGAGACCACCAAGCTCATCCTGCAGTTCATGGCCACCGTCAGTGGCCAGCATTCGTGGATCGAGCAGCAGGTCCTGGAAGCCAACCCTATCCTGGAGGGTAAGCATCACTCCGGGACCCGCCCTTCTCCCCAGCCCCACGAGAGCCTTCCTTCCAGGTGGGACCACAAACCTTCAGCAACTCCTCCAGACCCTTGGGACACAAAACACAAGGGTGGGGTGCATGGTAGGGATAGGGGGGCCAGGCAGCACAAAGGGGAAAGACTGAGGACTTAATAAACTTTCAACAGGTGTGTTTTCCACGGGATCGTAAGGAGTATTCTTTTTAAAAAGGGATCCAAGATCAAATCAATTTGGGAAATGCTAGATGTGTGTGTTCGGTTGCTGGAACTGAACTGGAAAGCAGTTGCTGGGCCAGGGTGAGGACTGCAACAGGTTTATCGAGGGGTAAACCTGCGGAAGACAAGGTGGGAGGAAGCAGGAGTGGGCAGGATGAGTCTTCAAACTTGGATGCTGCTCAGACCCTTAGGAACCGGAAAAGGAGAGCAAGCAGCTTGGGTCGGGAGCGGCTCATGCTGTGATGCAGATCTAAGTCTTGGCCAACCCAGAAGGGAGCTCTGGAGCAAACTCCTCCTTAGAAGCCTCCTGCCTTTGCCTGGGTGACCCGGCCTCAGTCTTGTTAGGGCTGCCTGGAAGCCTGTGGCCTCGGCGCCAAGGCTGTCGGCTGCTGTCTCTCTCGTTTCTTTATAATTGAAGTTTGCTTTACATATAGTAAATATTCACCTTTTTCACTTACAGTTTCGTGAGTTTTGACAAATGCATACAGGCCTATGGCTCCCATCATCATCAGGAAGTAGAATGTTCCCATTACCCCCCAGATCTTCCCTCACGCCCCTTCGTAGTCACCCCGTCTTCCGGACCCCTCCCCTGGCAACTGCGGATTTGTCTTTCCCCTGCCTCCCTTCACAGTTTTGTCTTTTCCAGAATGTCGTAGAAGTAAAATAACAGGGTTTGTAGGCTTTTGTGTCTGGTTACCTTGGCTATTTGGGATTCTTCCTTGTTGCTGCCTGCATCAGCGATTCATTCCTTTTCAATGCTGAGTAGAATTCCATTGTGTGGAGGTACCACAGCTTCTCCACCCGTTTAGGACATCTGGGTTGTTTACCGTTTTTAGCCACTAGGAGGAAAACCTCTATAAACATGCACATACAGGTTTTTGGGTGCACATAGGTCTTTCCCTTGGATAAATATGCAGGAGTGAAATTGTTGGCTCAAAAGGCAAGTGAGCCATTTTACTTTGTCAGAAACTTCCGAAATGTTTTCCAAAGTGGTCGCAGCATTTTGCTCTCTCACCAGCAGAGCAGGAACATTCCGGTTGTCCTGTGACCCCACCAGCACCTGGCACGGTGAAGGACATGGTCTCCCCTCTGATATATGTGGAGCATGCTTGTAACTCCCATGGCCCTGACGACGAAGGATGTTAGCGTCTGTCCGCGTGCTTGCCTCCCCTCTGTCTATCTGCTCGGGTGAAGTGTTGGTTCAAATCTTTTGCCTATTCTTTCATATTCTTTAATTGGTCTATTTCCTTACTAATAAGTTATTTTTGCTTGTTTGTTTTTTGTTTATTTGAGACGGAGTTTTGCTCTTGTTGCCCAGGCTGGAACACAATAGCACGATCTCGGCTCACTGCAAACTCCGCCTGCCGGATTCAAGCAATTCTCCTGCCTCAGCCTCCCCAGTAGCTGGAATTATAGGCATGAGACACCACGCCCAGCTAATTTTGTATTTTTAGTAGAGACGGGGTTTCTCCATGTTAGTCAGGCTGGTCTTGAACTCCCGACCTCAGGTGATCTGCCCGCCTCGGCCTCCCAAAGTGCTGGGATTATAGGTGTGAACCACCGTGCCTGGCCACTGGTGAGTTTTAAGAGTTCTTTAGGTGTTCTGGATACAAGTCCTTTCTAAGACAGGTGTTATATTGTGTCCGAGTTTGTGGCCTGTCTTTTCATTCTCTAGACAGTGTCTTTTGCAGGGCAGAAGTTTTAAATTTTTAAAGTTCAATTTGTCCTTTTTTTTCTCCTATGGGTCATGTTTTTTTGTGTTGTATCTAAGAAATCTTTGCCTAACCCAGAGATTTTCTCCTATGTTTTTCCTATGTGTTTTGTAGTTTTAGATCTTATACTTAGGTTGATGATCCAGTTCATGATTTACATTTGTGATCC